CAGTGAACTGGATCAAAACACACCGCTTCACTTCTAGGGTTCACGGTCTTAGTGACCGCGAACTGCCTTGGCTCTAGTAACCTTAGAAACCTCTCTGGATGCTTTGCGGTTCATGGATTGTGGTTCCAGATTACGGTCCTGGCGATCGTGAACTCTGGCTGAATCCTCCTCTTTGCCCGGTCTTTGATCCTTTTTCCAACTTTCGACTCAGGGGTTGGTTTCACCTGTTAAACTCTGAAACACATTGAAACACAAGAAACCTAGCGTAAAACCACCACTTTTGGAGCTCAATTGCCACAAATGTCAAAGAGAAATGGGAATAAAAAGTGTACAATTAGGCCCGAATCAGTCCGTCACCTATTCTTGTTTTTTCAATCCCAAGAAGCATTTCAATGGTCTAAGCAATTTGACTTTAAACTACTTGCTTAACACCTATTTGAACGGATCCTTGTTTGTTTGTGCATCTCCACCAAATATTATATAATCTACATATACATGACCACAATCCTTCCATTTACCCACTTGGTGAATAAGGCCTACGTTGTTGGAGGACGATTTCAAAAATCCAGTTTTGAGAAGGAAACCAATCATCTTGAAAAACCATTTCCTTGAGCCCTAGTTGAGCACATAGAATGACTTCATTAACCTGCAAGACATTGGTATGGAACATGAAGTGGGCAACTCAAATCCTAGAAGAATTTTCATATACACCTCTTTATCCAGCTCACCATGCAGAAATGCATTTCAAGTGACCAATTTTTTATAGTATTTATTTCCAATAGGGCTTTGATTGTATTGATTTTGGACCCCATAAAAAGGTATCTCAACATTCTTGCCCATAAACCTGTGTATAACCTTTGACAACTTAGTCTTGTATCATTTTACTGGACCATCAGACTTAAGTTATTCCTTAAGCACCCACTTATTACCAATAGTTTTCTTGATCAGTGTAATTCATTAATATCCCAAGTTTGATTTGAGTCTAAAACACCTATTTGTTCAAGTACAATCATCTTCCACTCTATTGACTTAATAACATCATGATAGACCACATGTTCAACATGACCCAACATACTCAAAGAATAATGTCTATAAGTTTTTTAGTGATGATCCACATTCAAGAAAGTAGGGTACCTGGTTGCTGTTGTGTCGAAAGCTCCAAACTGTAGTTGTGGATCAATTTCACCATCATCATACTGTGTTGGTAGATGATAATGTCTCTTAGGCATTCCAATTGGATCTTCATCTTTGGCTCGTGGTTCTAGCTCAGGCTTCCGCTCTATAGATGGAGAGTGTATGGCATCATAAATAGAACCTGATTGATGCTCACCCTCAATACCCCTTTATAGTAGAACCTAAGTCAAATTATACATGAGGTATGTATCTAGGTGGAAAATAAGCAGGAATGATGATAAGAGGTGTTGAGGCATGAAAGGAAATTGATTTACAAGACAAGGGGGTTGAGGTAGTATCCTTTGTGATGTCAACGTCCATGGATCCATGTCTAAAGGCAATAATTGTTTCATAAAAATAAAATGTCTAGAAATGAAGACTTTATGATCATAAAAATCCATTAGTTTGTATTCTTTGATGCGTGGTTGTATGCCAAGAAAGACAAACTGTCATGCATGAGCATCAAACTTAGCTCTGCCATGACTAAGTGTGCTTGCATAACCCAAACTATCAAAGACCTTTAAATTTCCAGAAAATGGTGGATTGTTGTATAACATTTCATAGGGAGATTGAGAACAAGTGTTGAGATTGTTGTATAACATTTTATGGTGGATTGTTGTATAACATTTGAAATAAATCAAGTGGAAACACTGGTGCTAATAAAGAAAGGTTGTCATTTGTGGTTGGGAAAATGACATATGTTACAGTGCTGAGATTGAGAACAAGTTATCGTGGAAGTTGACTTTTGTAACCTTCAAATCCTATCACTAATGGGATTGCCTAATCTCCAATTATGAAAATCTACTTATTGAGGAGTGAAATTGTAGATACTAGCTATTTAAGGGGGAAATGGAGTAAAATGGGAGATTCTAGCTGTTTGAGGAAAAAATGAACTGCTGGTGGTTTTATGGTGTGGTGAACGTGAGTTATTAAAGTCTTTTAAGCTCTCTTGTGAAACTAATCATCCTCTTTCCTAAAGGTAACGTATTTGGCAAAAGTTAGGTAGAAAATGTAAGACCAATGGTAAGCTTGATTACAGAAACAAGGTTGAAAGAAAAAACTGGACACTTGAAGGACATTGTAAAGACATAATCCAGAAAGTAATTTGATTGTCCATAGACAAGTAACTAGAGAACCTTAGTGGCATTTGGCGACTGAACAAAATTATATTTTACTTCTCTATATTTAACTAAAAGGTTAAATAATAGGAGATATGATATGATGTCCCTATATCTTAGATCCAAAATCTTATAGAGTTTGTGTTTTGATGTCCCAAATAATATGGGAGGATGCATTTCCCTAAAAAAATGAAGGGAGGTATTGGGTTTCTGAATATGCATTGTGTGCAATGGATGGTCGTGTGGGTGGTAAAAGCACAAGGTTACCACTACTTCTCATAATATCCCCGATTCTGTTCATTTCTTCAGGAGTGAATGCAACAACAGACTTTGTAATACTAGCAGGACTACCTCCAGGTGTATCCCTATCATAGCTTCCTGATGAATGTGTATCACCAATACTACTAGTAGAGACAAAGCCTGCACACCTTGGTATACTGCCCTATGAATCACCTGAGCTACTTTTAGTTTTTTCTTCCTTACTCTTCCTCTTAACTCTTCAAAAAAATTCCACATTATTATTAGTCATCTTGCAATAGACACACAACTTCTTTCCATGGATCATTTGATTGTACTCTTATAAGTTTCTACTTCTAAAAAGCCATAGTCTGAGCTTTATTACTATTTTTAGTTGCTTCACCTTTCACCTCTTGTTCATATTGAAATTATCCACTACTTCTAATACTAAGGGAAGGGGTTTCAGTGACAACAATGGACTCCTGATGATCTCATAATCAAGATTCATAACCCCTCATGAACCTTATGAGGTAGTCAATTTCTCGACTTTTTGTACGTAGAATACCACACCATAAAAAGGTTTTGGATTTCCTGGGGCACATTTATAAGGAATAATAGACTAATCAACAATAATTCTTCCCATGTTCCTTTGAACATAGTATAATATCAATTAATAGATAACGAACCTTGTTTGCATCTATCAATTTCATCTTCTAGATTAGTTATCCTAATTGAATTAGGTTGATTGTATCTCATTTTAAACTCACCCCATAAAACCCTATCACTCATACGATTTATCACGAATCTTCTCAAGTCTTCATGGAATGAATTGAATATCCAAGACAATATAGTAGTACTACAATCATCTCATAGCAAATACTTCTAATTAGTTTTTGGTGTCAAGGGTATGCTACCATCTATAAAACCCAATTCGTGTTTCATCTTAAGACCCATAATAAATGACCAAGTCCATATAGTATAATTAGTCCCACCAAACACTTCATTATTAATTGATTGGTCAAGAGCTTCATTTGGGTTTATATAAAACTGATTACTGAAGGAAATGATTTCAGATCTGGTCCCCATATGATATGCTATGAAGGAACCAATTGTACCTTTCCAAGTCTTTCTCCTTTTTTGCTTTATGGGTTAGCTCCATTAGTGTCTTGATTCACAATGGTTGCTCCATGGTTGATTTGGGGCTAATTACAAATAATTTATCCCCCATTTCTTGATAGTTTGACTTTATAATTCATCGTCCCCTTGACTTATTTTATGATAGGTTGTGCTATTTCTGTTACATTTCAGGTCCTAGTGTGTGTGGGAAGGTCGAGGATGAGTTTCAAGACAATTGGAGTGGAAAAGCGCCAAAAAAATTAAGAAAAAGTCAGAAGTCACGGTTGGGACGTGAATGTCACAGTCATGAGACCATGACAAAGTCAAGGAGGGTGTAAAGACTGATTGAGGAACTTAATATTTGGCACGTCTCGCGGGCCTAAAGGTTGTCACAATCAGTAGATAGTGACAATTGCAAGTAGCCCGTGAAGTCGGACGATAATGGCATCAACGCCCTGTGTTTTTGGACAATGTCACGGTCGGAGGTCCAATGTCATGATCGTGACATTCTGCCGGTGAGTTTGTCTGTTGGGCTATTTAAATAGAAGGCCGTTGTGAGAGAGAAATGAGAGCTTGGTTGGATTTTAGATTTTCTGGGTCCCTTCTAGGGTTCCAGCGGAAAATTCCAAAGGAGGAAGAATTCTAGTGAGAGAAAGGTCTTCTTCTTCTTGTTAAGAGAGTGAAAGTGACAAACCAAAGGAAGAAGAAGGAGATATGAGGTGCCCTAAGTTAGATGATTGAAATATTTCTTCACTCAAGGGTGATTCAAGCAACTAGGAAGGATGATAATCACCACACCATGGTTCTTTCTTTCATCTTTGTTGTATTCCCTTGCCTAGCTATGGAGTAGTGCTCCCTCTCACTTGGGTATTGTGAACCCTAGTCTAGATGTGCTTTAAGATGTAAGAACTTGATTCTATGTGTTTTGAGGTATTATTCATGAATGATTGAGTGTTGCTAGCTTTAACTCATTATTGGGTCATTTTGACATAGGTGGAGAGAATTCCCTTTTGTTAGAGGCTTTGAGGAGTTGGATTTCTTGGTCAATTTAAGTCACCGACCTAGGCAAATGAGCACAAACCTCAAATATCAGATTAGTGCCATGATTGCATCTTGATTGATCGCTTTCCGCCGTCCGGATTAACTTTCGAGAGATTGGTTCTTGCAATCCTTGGTTGATTGGTTAAGAGAGCTAGATTTCTTAACTTTTAGTTGCAATCCTTTGTCGAATGGCTAAGAGAGATAGGCTACCTAGCTTATAGTTTCAACCCTTAATTGGTTGACTAAGAGAGTTAGGATTTCCTAGCTAGTTTCACCTGACTCATGATATATAAACACGAGACTAGGGGGAGAAAACCCCGAGCGAAGTCCTATCATATATAATTCTCCACGACTTACTTTGCTTGCTTGTTTATTTTGTAGTTTTCTTAATTTTAAACTCCAAACCCTTTGCTAGACAAAAACCTAAGCGTTTATAGTTGGGCTGACAATTAAAATGCTTTCCCTATACTACACCCTACTAGAGTTTATAGTTGGGCTCTATTTGGATTTTCTATTGGTGTAGTTAGAGTGAGTCAAGTTATTGACGCCGTTGTCGGGGACTGTTAACGGTCTATTATCCAGAAAAGGTCGTTTATTATTACTCTAGCATTTTATATATTGTCTTTTGTTTTGTTTTTTGTTTTCATCTTTTTGTGATGCAGAGTTGGGCCATGGATTCCGATATCTTCTCCTACACATGGGGTATCCACCAACACTCGAATGGGGTTACCACGAGACATGGAGCAATCAAGAAGGAGAAAGTTACGGATTTGGGGTCGACTACCAACTACCTTTCCATGTTGAACAACCGTATCCCCACAGATGTTCAAGAGTTCCAACCATACAATGGAGCCTACCCTCGACAACATGAAGTGAAGAGCCAATTGGAGCTATTGGTGGAGAAGTTTGCATCGGATAATGACCAATCTTACTCCAAACCGACCTTCCCAACATCAGATCCACCTTACTCGGATTTCCTCTATGAAGCGGAGGAAATACGCAAGAGCACGGAGAATCTAAACTCGATGGTCGATAAAGCTTGTGCACAGTTCACTCAAGATCGGCTCTTAGCGGGTTGTGAAGAAAAGGAATATGAAGAGGCAAGCCTCGAGGATGAATTGGAACGGTCGGAAGTTGTTATAGATGTCCACCATGATGCCCAAGAACTGGAATGTCCTCTTGAGGTAGTCACCACTCTTCCACACTTCATTTCAAGTGTTGAAGAGGAGGATCTCCATGAGGAGATGGGCCGATCCAATCGAAGACATCGCTTGGAAACTTGCTATCCAATGCATGCTTGCAGAAGAGTGAGGGAGGATGAGAGAAGAAGTTATGGAGGAGGTAGAAGCAAATGAAGAAGAATTTCTTGAGGAACGACAAAAGGAGAAATACGAAGAAGCGAAGGATTTGGACGAAGCAATTGAATTTCGTGCTAAAGAGGAAGTTTTGGTGGAAGAGGCTTGCATAAGCCAAGAGATTATAGTGAAATCTCCACCTAACTTTGAGGAGTTGCTTAGCAAGGATCCTTTTGTGATTACTCTTTGCTCGACCAAAGCCACACCGTCATCATTTTTCCTTGATGGATGTGGTGGAGGATAATTGATGATGTTTTATCCGGTTCGGGGCCAAGAGAAAAGAGAAAAAAGAGAGAAGGAGAGGTCTCAAGGGTTGAGGCTTTGACTTACTCAAGTCCATGAGTCGTCATCAACTACTATTCCATATGCTCATGACTTGAGGCTCCACCTCAACGACAAGAACCTCAAATTCAAAGAGGTTCACGGATGGACCGAAGCTTGAGGAGCAACCGTCTAGCTTTTGACGTAAAAGTAGTGCTTGTTGGGAGGCAACCCAACGTAGGTTTGTGTTTGTTTTTATGTTAAGTACTATTATTGTGCAATAACCTTGCCTTGTGTGAGTATGTGTGTTTGTTTTTATCTCCTTGAAGTTCTCTCCTCTTCATCTCTGGCCCAATTCTGTCCCGATTTTCACTCGCCAAGCTATGTGGTAACATTGTTCTACCTCCTTATTCTACGCCATTTACGGAAATATCTAGCTTAAGTGCGGGGGGATAGTCTATTATTATTATGTGCGTGATTTAGTGTTTGGAGCCTAGTTGTATGCCCAAATTTAAAAAAATTTGAGGGATCCTAGCATTGCATGTTCATTGTGGCCGGTTGTTGGAGGATCTCGTGTTTATTGGCATTGACTATGGATTGATTACTTGCAATTGAGTGCATCCTATTATGAGGATTGAGAATTGCATTAGGTTGGTGCAAGTGTTTAGTTCTCATATGTGTGTGAATCGATAGATGCCTTGACTTGAGTACCCATTGATTGCAATTGCATGCATCAAATTTTTTGAAATTGGAATGGATGATTGAGCGACTAGGTAGCCATGTGATATTTGTGTCGATCGTCTTTTTCATGTGTGATAGATCAGTCTTTCCATGGCGAGTAACATTCATGTTGTCATTAGCGAGTATGATGGAGGCATAGAATTAGTCCACAACCCAAAAAGTTGATTGTCTCGATCATTATATCCCCTAGTCAACCCCTTTTGAGTCGTGCGACTTAGGGTCGTTCTCATTTTAGGAGATTTTGCTATTTGAGCTTAATTGAGATTGATAGAAGGACCCTTTACTTTCTTCATGTCTAACCGGTGTGAGTCATCCTTGTGTCTTGAAGCACCCATTTTTGAGCTCCATGGAGGTTCTACATAAGTGAATTTTGCATGGTTCTGGCTAAGAATGAAGAGTTAGTGTTAGATGAAGTTCTTAATGGTGAGCATTATTCGTTAAGTGTAAAATTTGGCATGTGTTTATCTCTCTAATACCCCCTCGAAGAAAAAGAAGAAAGGAAAGAAAAAGAAAATAAAAAAGGGAAGTAAGAAAAAGAATTGAAAAAGAGGTAATAATAGGGGTAAAAAAAATATTAAGAGTTGCCACAAAGTTGATTTGTATGCTCTGGAAATGTGTTTCTTGGCATCTAAGTTTTGAAACACCCTACTTGCTTGCTGACCTGATTCACTACTATGCTTGAAAATTGGATAGCAGGTGTCGTTGAGAATGTGTGCTTGAATGTCGTTCATAATTGGTTGTGGTTTGGAAGTAGGGAAGTTTGGTTTTTGGCCGATGCTAGTGGCTATTGCTTGTAGGAAAATGTTCTAATTGAAACCATAGAACCTTGTGTTGCTTTTAGGTTTAAGATGGAACCTCATGCTATGTTTGCCACCACCCAAAAGGCCTTTTCCCCATGTCCAAGACGATCGCCAGTCATATGAACCCGTGTATAAGTCCTCCAGAAAAGCTCGCGACGACACCCATCTTGATCTTGTGAGCTCTAGCATTTAGAGATTACCATCATGGTGAAGAGATGATAGGGTTGAGTGTTGATTATGCACATCTCTTGGATAAAATGGTCCTGACCCCACTGGTCGAGAGTGAGCGATCCATTCAAATTTTCATGTTCATATCATACATCCCGATGAGGACCTAGCTTGATCATTCTTTTGTTCTTAGGGCTTGATCTCTATGCATGGATAACTGCGATTGATGAGTAGTCTTGTCAGGTTGTGTCGATCTGTGAACAGGGTGAGAACTTTTTCGTTTACACGTTCTTAATGCATTTGAATGTCATTTGTGGTGGTTGCCGGTATTGCTTGTGATTGTCCGTATGTTGTGTGCCGATCCGTGACAATTGCAAGAAGACCGTGAAGTCGGACGAAAACGACATTAGCGCCCTGCATTTTTGGACGATGTCACGGTCGGAAGTCCAATGTCATGGCCGTTTAAATAGAAGGAAGCTGGGAGACAAAAAGGAGAGCTTGGCTGGGTTTTAGATTTTATGGGTTCTCTTCTAGGGTTCCAGCTGAAAAACCCCAAAGGAGGAAGAATTCTAGTGAGATAAAAAAAAACTTTTTCTTCTTGTTAAGAGGGAGTGTTAAACCAAAGGAAGAATATGGAGATTTGGGCTTGCTCTAAACTAGAGGATTGAAGACTTTCTTCTCTCTAGGGTGATTCAAGCAACAAGGAAGGAGGATAATCACCACACCACGGTTCTTTCTTTCATCTTTGTTGTATTCCCTTGCCTAGCTACGCAGTAGTGCTCCCTCTCACTTGGGTATAGTGAACCCTAGTCTAGATGTGTGTTAGGATGTAAGAACTTGGTTCTATGTGTGTTGATTATGTGTTTTATGTAATATTTGAGGTATTATTCATGAATGATTGAGTGTTGCTAGCTTTAACTCATTATTGGGTCATTTTGGCCTAGGTGGAGAGAATCCCATTTTGTTGGAGGATTTGAGGAGTTGGATTTTTTGGCCAAATTGAGACACCCACCTAGGCAAATGAGGGCAAACCTCAAATATCAGATTAGTGCCATGATTCCATCTTGATTGGTCGCTTTCCGCCGTCCGGATAGCTTCCGAGGAATTGGTTCTTGCAATACTTGGTTGACTGGTTAAGAGAGTTAGACTTCTTAGCTTTTAGTTGCAATATGTAGCCGAATGGCTACGAGAGCTAGGCTACTTAGCTTATAGTTGCAACCCTTAATTGGTCGACTAAAAGAGTTAGGGTTTCCTAACTAGTTGCACCCACCTCACGGTATATAAACATATCATTCACTATTTTGTAGTTTTCTTAATTTTAAATTCCAAACCGTTTGCTAGATAATAACCTAAGCGATTGAAGTAGTGGTACATGGACCAGCCCGAGTTGACAATTAAAACGCTTGGCCTATACTACACCCTACTAGGGTTTATATTTTGGCTGTAGTTGGATTTTTTATTGGTGTAGTCGGAGTGAGTCAACGGTCTAAGCCTGTATACGACGGGGTTGATGTCATTGTAACCGTAGAGCAAGAACCACTTCAATACAATGAGAATTAGATGAATTTGGTGGAGGCAGAACCCTACCAAACAAGGCTTCCAATCACTCTCATACATACTAAGATACTAATAAAGCTTAGCTGATAAATCAGTCGTTTGCCCCATGTCACAACAACACTAAGTTATTTACAAACTAAATACGGTAGATTAACTTTTTTTTTTGACAAAAGATAATATGTATTGATCAAAAATAGATAATTACATCCTGGATTCCAGCCAGTCCTGAAAATCAAAGAAACGACTCATGGTCGGGTACAAGGAGAGGGCTTTCCTAGCCACCAGATGGGCTACCCTATTACTACGCCGACCTATAAACCGAATCCTAAACTCAGGATGGGTGTGAAAATAATGCACAACCTCTTCCAGAATAACACCCACCCGATTATCTCTAACATCCCCTTGACTGATTTTATCAATGATCACCTTCGCATCACCCTCAAATTGAACACTGGTCAAGTTATTCGCCAGACACCACAAAACTGCCTCTCTCAGAACAACCAGCTCCACTGTCATAGGGTCCTCGAGGAACTGCAACTGGACGCCCTTAACCATAAGCACATTCCTAGTAGGGGATAACAAGACTAACCCTCCAGCTGAATGTGATCCAGGTCGAATCGCCCCATCCCACATACAAATGACCCGTTCAGTCTCCTCCAACCCAAGATGAACCCCCCTAGGGACCGCGGGCCGGAGAGCCTTCTCCACTGGAAGCCTTACCCATTCCTCATATTGCTGGTGGAACTGACGCATCAAGGCTGGGAATCCAAACTGTTTGCCTTCGAAGACCACCCAGTTGCGAGACCGCCAAATTCGCCAGAGGGTAGCAACCACCGCCATGAACAAAGAGGGTTGGTGGATTAAAGCCATCAGCTTTTTTAGAAACAACGGGAACGTTTGACGAGGCAACCCCTCCCCTAGATACTCCAGTCCCGAATAGTCCCACATAGCCCTCGCCACCGGACAGTAAAGAAATAGATGCTCCATCGTTTCCGGTCCCTCCCAGCAAACTGGACATCTAGGGAGAACCGGGACACGTTTTCCAATAAGGGCCTCAGTAGTGGGCAATATCCTATTGAGAATCTGCCAGACAAAAACCTTAAGCTTAGGGGGGATATTAGCATCCCACAAACGAATCCAACTGGCCTTATCCATCCAACTGACAGAGGCCTTCCAACACCCATGTCTCTTATCCACAGTAACCGCCAGGTGGTAGGCCGATTTCACCGAGAACACCCCGTCTGGTGTGTCATGCCAAATGAGCCTATCCTCCACATTCCGGCGCGGAAGAGGTATCGCTTGCATGGCCTGACAAGTCTGAGGATCAAACCACTGACTTAGCTTTTGGACATCCCACCGACCTTCCCCCTGACAAATCACCTCCGCAACAGGAGGACCCTTGTCCGCAGGAAGTACCACTGGGGGATCAAGCTGGAGTTTGGAAACCCAATTGGAATACAGTAAAGAAGCAGATTTCCCATTCCCGATTTGCCATCGTAAACCCTTCTCTAATAGCTGTCTACCAAACAGTATACTCTGCCAACCCCAAGAAGGGCGAGATCGGGCCGTTGCTAATAAAAATGTCCCATTCGGGAAGTACTTGCCTTTATAGACCTGAGCGAGAAGGGACTGGGGTTCCGATAGGATGCGCCAGCCAATTTTGGCGAGGAGTGCCTGATTAAATTGTTCAAACCGCCTGAACCCCAACCCCCCCCCTCATGCTTACTATGGCACATATTACGCCAGGCCATCCATTGAATCCGAGGATGACCCTCAGCATCCCCCCACCAGAAATACGCCACATGATTATCTAAGAGACGACAAAGAGAGACAGGCAGCTTGAAACAGGACATCACATGCAATGGCAGAGCCAAGGCAATTGACTTAATCAGAGTTTCCTTCGCTGCCCAAGATAACGACCTTTGTTTCCACCCTTGGAGACGCTCTAACAACTTCTCCTCCAAGAACCGGAAAGTCGCCATCTTAGAGCGAGCGAACAGCGTGGGCAAGCCCAGATATTTGTCGTGGACACCCACCGCCCCCACCCCAAGAATTGCAGCCAAGAACTCCTGGTCCTCCCGCACAATATTCTTACTGAAGCATACTGCTGATTTATCCAAATTCAACTTCTGGCCGCTCAATTCCTCATACTCATTCAGGACCATGATCAGGTTCTCACATTCCTGGAGGGTTCCCCGTAGAAATAAGTACGAATCATCCGCAAAAAACAAGTGCGAGATCCTGGGAGCCCGAGGAGCCACCTTTACACCCTCCAGCCTCTTTTCTGAAATAGCCTTTCGTAGCAGAGCAGAGAAACCCTCTCTACAAATCACAAACAGGAGAGGGGAAAGGGGATCTCCTTGCCGCAACCCTCTGGTAGGGGAAAAGAAACCCGAAGGAGCCCCATTCATAAGAACTGAAAAAGAAGAGGATCGAAGACACTCATGAATCCATCCCTGCCAGAAAGAATTAAAACCCATCTTGCCTAAAACAGCGAGAAGAAAGGGCCATTCGACCCTGTCATAGGCCTTTTCCATGTCAACCTTAAGAGCCATGTACCCTTTCTTACCACGCGTTTTAATTTTCAAGTAGTGCATCAATTCATGCCCTAGGAGGATATTATCCACAATTTGACGTTCCCGAATGAACGCATTTTGACCATCTGAGATGACTTGGGGCAGTATGCAGGCCAACCTCTCCGCCATGATCTTCGTGACAATTTTATAGACAAATTGGCATAAGCTAATCGGCCGTAGGTGCCTCATAGTTTCCACACTCTCCACCTTGGGGATCAACGTGAGCCAGGTATGGTTAAAATCCCGCAGCATCTTGCCCATAGTAAAGAACGAACAGACTGCATCGATCACCGAGTTACCCACGACATCCCAGAAGGCTTTGAAAAACTTCCCCGTGAATCCATCGGATCCAGGGGCCTGCTTTGACCCCATGGAAAAGACCATTTTACGTACCTCACAGGGAAGCACTTCGACCGTTAGGGTAGCGTTCATGGCTGGAGTAATAGACTGGGCAATCGGCAACGAGGCCACCCGTTCAGCCATGTTCGCAACTTGATTTTCAGAGGTAAAGAGATTTTGATAAAAGGATGTCGCCACCCCAGCTTTCCCAGTTTCATCTGTGATCCACACCCCATCATCATTCCGAAGTCCTTCCACAAAATTTTTCCTACGCCGGTCCCTGGTCACTGTGTGAAAATAAGAAGTATTCTTGTCACCCTTTTTCAGCCAGTGAACCCTGGACTTCTGCTGCCAATATATTTCCTCAGCCTCCCACTGCCTACCCAATTCCACTTCTAAATCTCGGATCGCATCCCAGTCAATTGGCTGGGAAGCTTTGATCCTCTCAATTTCGCCCTAAAGCGTGTTAATGTTTCTCAAAGAATTGGTAGTCCCAGCCCGACTCCAATCATATAACAGATGACGTAGCTTCTTGAGACGCTCCCATAGACAGAAAATAGGAGTACCCTGAACCTCCTCTTTCCAGACATAATTAACCATTGCTCTGACCTCAGGATTTTCTGCCCAACGGGCGTCAAATCTAAAAAGAGGACGGCAACACCTGGTATAGGGTTTATCTGATAGAAGAAGAGCACGATGATCTGAACCCTGATCCATAAAATGCTTGACCAGAGTTTCCGGGAAACGGTCCATCCAGGCTTGGGAGCAGAGGGCCCTATCCAGACGTTCACGGATACAGGCTTCCCCCATCCTCCTATTCGTCTTGGTGAACTGATCCCCAAGGAACCCTGGATCATGGAGACCCAGCTCTTGAATAAAAACCCGCAGGCTAATAGCTTGAGAAACGTTCCAAGGGTTACCACCATCCTTCTCATTTCCTTGGAGGGTAGTATTAAAATCACCAATAATAACATAGGGAAGGTGGAAGGTAGAGCAGAGCTCTTGAAGCTGAGCCAATTGGGAAGCTCTAATAGTGGTATTACAACTAATATAAACAGCAACCACAATATAAGAAAGATCCATTTCATTGATTTGGGAACAAATACAAAAATTGGAATGATAAAACACCGAAGCATCGACTCCGGGGGACCAACCTAAAACTAACCCACCAGATGCATCAATCGCATCCACAAAAAAACAACTGGAAAGATCAAAACCTAAACCCCGCATACGTCAGGAGACAATACGCCAGCTCGATTGAGTTTCCGAGAAAAACACGAGATCCTGTTTATTAGAACGAACCAAACTAAAAGCAGATTGGAATGTGAGGGATGGTCCAATTCCTCTCACATTCCAGGCCAACATTTTCATTTATCGGACTGGGGCCATTTTAGGCTGGCTCCTCCACCTGTTCCAGATTTTCCGCAACTTCAACAAATTGTTTCTTAGGTGACGGATCGTCCACCATAGCACCCTCAACCGCTTCCAAAGGGCGTTTTCGCGTCCCAATATCTGGGTTCATTAAATTCGACCCATATTCATCCAGCTTAGAGTCAGCCTCTTGAATCATGCTTTGTTCTGTCCGAGTCGGACTATCATTATTCATTCGCTCCTGCAGGATGGTTTGAGCCCCAGAATTAATGGCAAGTCCAGCTTCAAACGCGGCCACCATCTGGCTAACATGCCCCCTTGGGGTATTAATTAGTTCTTTTGGGTGAGCGGGAAGCCTCTTTTTAATTTCAAAGCATTGGACTTCCTCCTCAGATTCTGAGTCTGCCGACACAAGGGCCTTCACTGCTTCAGTGCTAGGGACCGAGGCCGGGGCCTCCCCATCCAGGCCCGAACATCCCACGGGCTTAGCCTGCTCCGGCCCAGCTTTGCTCCCTCTCTTACTGTCGCCTGTCCGCTTGGAGGATTCCCCAACAGTGGCCTGGGCCTTTCGCCTATTCTCTTTCTTCACGGGATGGGCCAGCTTTTGCAAATGGTGACCTGAGCGCTGCATAGGAAGGCCCGCACCAGTTTCCTTCTTAAGCCCAGTAACCGCCGCTGGACAGCCTCCCTGACCCACCCCCACTTCCCCCACAGCCAGATGCTGCAAAGGGTGGGCCTCGATCTCAACCTGATTGGGCCTGCAATTACTTGTTGGGCCTAGCACCGGGCCCGACGCCTCTTCCCCCACTGGATTCTGTTGAAGCCCAGCATTTGGGTTTTCTTTTTGGAAGGGGTTAAAGGCCCTGTCAATATTCAAGGCATCATCCTCCTCATCAGTCTCGAGAATGAGACGGCGCCGCCGAGCCTGTGCGAAAACGCCCGCAGCGCAGCCGTGTGTCTCCGATGGATCCGAGGTATGATCGTCATAGAGATTTCGATCGACGACCAAATCTCCCTCCTGTACCTTGCCTTGGCGGTTCAATCTTCTTCCCCCCAATCTGGATCCGAGCTGGTTTGTTAATGGCAAAGCCTCTCGGGCTTGACTTCTTGATTGTGATTTTACTCGGCTCCTGGATCCCGGTCGGGTTATTTGGCGGATTGGCTGCTTCCCTATCCAGCTGAGAAGTGAACTCCGCCTTCTTCACCGCCCCTTGCCGCTCTGCCTCACGGCTACGAACATATGTACGATCATTCTTCGCTGGACCATTGATCTGTCGATTGACCCAGACCGTCTGCCGCGGGCCCCTGTTTCTCATGGATTCGTCTTCTTCCTTATAGATCTTCCGACCAAACTTTTTCATCGACATATGCGGGCCGAAGCGCTCCTTCCTATTGGGCGGGGCAAACGTGCAGTCACGTCGGGCATGGCCCACTCGACCGCAGTGATAACAGAAGCTAGGGAGATACTCATATTTCAAGTTCACCCAAAAACAGCCAGTATCGTCGCTAGTCGCCATTAGTTGAGATCGAAGAGGGTTGGCAAAGTCGATGATAGTGCGAACCTTTATAAAACGCTCCCCCGACTCTTTGCAAGCGAAAACGCCAGATTCAAGCACCTGACCAATAGCTGCTTCCACCATTTTCCGCCCAAAGAGCTTTGTGCAGCAATCCTCCTTCACACCCCAAATTTGGAGTCGGAAAGGAGCCGTGGATAGCTCCTCAAAGGTCTTTCGAGAGGTCGCGGGCATCCAAGCTCGAATGTTAAGGATTTTATCCTTAATCACCCATGGAGTCCGTTTCAAAGCCCAGCTCTTCGCCTCCTCATTAGGCAGCATGATTTCGATTAAGTCATGATTTGTCTTAGAGACCGTCACACGTCCCGTGATTTCGAATACGGTAGATTAACACTAAGTGAGCAAATAAATAAAATGATAACGTTCCAACATAAGTGGACTGATGTAAATCAAAAGAAGCTCTACAATCCTTCTGCCACGAGGATTTCGGCACTTCATCAGCCATTCTTCATATCCTGCGGACAGAATCCCACTTCATAGTTCAATGATCAATACATCCACATGTTGGTAGTTAAGCTGGCAATATCAGATTTATTGGGCTGCCCCGTCATAGAAAAAATATACAAAAGTAACAGGTGTAAGAATGAGGAGAATGGAAAGTGCTGATCTTTGTGGATAAAAAGAAGTTTAGTGTTTTAGTTGTCGATCGACTATTCAGGTTTAGTGTCTAATTTGATCGACTTATATAGTTTCATTGAATACTCCCATTTTGTTTCGTGAATATTTTCAATCCTCAACCCAATATATATAATTTGGTCTTGTCATATTTATTGATGGCAACGGAATGAGACGGGTACCTCAATATCCATTACCTACCCTGCATTAAGCGGAAGTTAGATCGGATAACACCTGCACGAGTACGGGACGTGGTTTTAAAAGAACGTCGATATTTTACATTTTCATAACAATACAAAGAGAAAATACTTCATTAATGAATGATAAATATAGTTAATGAATAATTGAGTCTAAATAGTTTAAAGATTGAATTTTAAAATTTATTTGGGATGAAAAATGATTTTAGAAAGATCAAAAGAAGAGACATACACGTAAATTTTGATGCAAACCACTATAGAATGAGTCGAGATGGGGCTGGGGGAGGGGGGGGGGGGAACGAGGCACGTCGAAAACAATAAACATATCCCGCTGTACGCTATTGCGGGTCAGATAACACCTGCGCCAAACAAGTCGGGTAGTGCGACTAAGGTCAGAGATTGCTTAGATTGCAGAAGGGGAAATTTATTCATAATTTTTTTTTGGGGGATAAAAGCAAAAACCACTAGCAAAGGTTTTAAGAAAATGCAAGGGCAGGCGACATCGAGCATCTTAGACCCCAAGAGCAACAAAATGCAACACACACCGATTCGTTCTTAATGAACACAAATTAACACATCACACCATATTAGACTCGACAATATATTCCGGCGTTCTCCATCATCTTGGCTTGCTACTGATGATATGATCATACTATATATCCCCACATGGCGACCGGCGGCGGCCATCAATTCCCTCTGCCGGCGATCGCTTTAGAAGCTTCAGCACCAGCTGCCTTTGACATGGTCGACCAACCCTTAGAAACTTGACCACGTGCACCACGATATCTCCTGGTGCCCGCAGTACTGTGCCAGCTGCTATCCTTCAGGGAACCAACACCAGTACGAGCAAGTGTTGAAGTTGGTAGGAAGAAGATGATGTTGATTAGCAGGAATAGAGTCATGGCCAAGGTGGTAGTTGACGCACTGCTCCCCATATCTTGCTATTTAGTATTTTCCCGGCTTTTTTCCTTTGGCTGACGGTGAAAAGAAAGAGATCTATCTCTATGCTGAACTCACTTTGGAAGAAGAAGATAACACACAATATTGGATCGGGTAGTATTTATAGAAAATCTTGAGCTAGGCACACCCCTTCCAAGGGAATTTTGTATACGACTAAAAATTGCAGGGTACATGGTCTTATTGTTGCATCGTATATTCTTCTGCGCACGGTCTTAGAATTATGATATGTATGTGGTGGCAATTTTATAAACAACAACATCACATCAACGTCTGAACCAGCGTGGTCAAGCTGTAGTCCCGTCGGTCTGTTCCAATTGGAGTAAGTGCTAAAAATGGTTTCGAGAAAGTCGTTTTTTCCTCCAAACCAATAGTCGGTTAAAACGGTCAAAATCTAAAAAATGTGTCAAAATCACAAAAAAAATCAGTGATATGATCGGATTATCAGGCTATTAGAAAGTTAGACAAAATGCTGCCTCTCGGTCCGTTCACATGGAAAACGAAGCAAATATATCCAGCTTCTAGAATCAGATAATAGCTTAGTTTGGCCTTGCGGTAGCTTTTGCAGAAGCAGCTTCTGGCTGGTGCTTTTAGATAAGTATTTTTCAAAAAATGCAGTTGAGTGTTTGACTGTAAAACTATTAAAAGTACTTTTTAATATGAGAGTTTGTGTAAAATGACTATAAAGGACTTATAATATAAAATACTAATAAAAATTCTAAACAATAAAAAATAGTCAAAATGTATCTTGTTAGATTTCTATATTAAATAATATGATTTTATAATTTATTATATTTTTAAAATGATATAAATGAAGAATAATTATATTTTCTAAAATAAAATTAAAATATGGTAAGGATAATCTTGTATTTTCAAAACAACTTTTCACAGAAGCAAAAAATCGGAGCTTCTGCTTTTATGTTATACAAAAGCGCTTTTCGGCTTTTCAAAAGCCGAGCTTTTAGAGGTGTTTGGCGCTGCTTCAGCTTTTGAACCCGAAAAACACTTCTAAAAGCAGGGCCAAACATAGGCAATGTTTACTTGTTAAATTATTGTTTGGTACCTATCAAATGTATTTAGATAATTAAAATAATAAATTATAATTATATATACATATATATTTCTCTGTTTGCTGTTGCACCAGGAGCCGTTGCGCTAGGTGCTAAAGCATGGGTGTTTTGTATCCATTGAGCAAAAACAGGTTGTAATTGTATAACAGAATCTGAAAACATATCTTGAGGTCGCCCTAAGGCGCTCATGTTATATAAAAAATAATTTAGACCGATTAGATTAATAAATCTCAAACCATTTGTTTCACATACTCAACCGTTTAAACCAGTTTGACAACTTTAATATGAACTCGTAAGCAACGCGCAATCCAATGATATGGCTTGGTATATAGTATATACACATTCCTTTGAGCATACTAACCAATCATTAACTTCCTGTCACGTCGAATAAAATTGACACCAGTAATTTTCAGAGACGACAAGAACAATGATTGTTTCAAAGATTAAAAAATCTTATGCGACAAAATTGGTAACAAGGGGCCGGTTCATAATTGAAATGGCACTTTCTTCCAAATTTGGTGGGGAAAATGACTGATATATAATATATATCATAATAAAATTAATTATGCCAAAAGAGAGTGAACTATTGCGAAGTTGATATTGTAGCTTCTGTTATGTCATGTTCATTTGTCTATGGCCAAATATTGAGATGTTCAATTGTCTCAGTTACATACGCAAGCGTAACTGTTCTCTATGGCCAAATAAGGTAGTTAGTGGTTCTGTAATTAGTCTTAAATTTGGAGATAGCAGTTTCAAATTTCTCAAGTGGTGCGCATCTTATGCTGCAAAACGATTCTATAGCATCATTAAATGTTAATATAAATTTAAGGATAATCAAAGCTGTCTCATGATCATGAATTTTCAACTGCCAAAAAAGGTAACGAAATCTGTCAAAAGTTGTGCTGAGACTTTCTATGGGACTTAGAAAAGAGGAGAGCCAAAGTAACTTGGAAATTGGCAGCATTGCATAAGGATGAATTTATTCAAAAAAAAAGCATAAGGATGAATGTGGTATGAGATTCAAAGACTTATATAGCTAGAACTATAGGCTTGTCTAGCTAGTGATCAGGCACTTTTGGAATGTTCTGACCGATCAGGAAACCATGTGGATCACTTGGCTAAAGGAATACGCATTGAGGAATGTGAGCATCTTGGAAAGTATAACTCCTGGTTCATGACCTAATTGTCTGAGGATGACATATTCACGGTTCGAGTCTGCCTGCTAACATATTTTCAATCCTTTCATCATCCAAGAAAACTTCCTTTTTATACCTATTTATTATTATTTACCTTAAATGTACTTGATACCAAGAAAAATGTTTGATCTGATCCATATTCAAGAATCTATTGAAATATTTTCTTCATAAACTTACAATTTTCAAATGTTGTGCTAAATTGATTTTAATTTATAATTAAATTGCATGTTCTTATTCGTAATGGTATTTTGATAGCAATAAAAGGTGTAATAGAATCCATAAACTTACAATTTTAGAATGTCGTGCTAAATTGATTTTAATTTATAATTAAATTGCATGTTCTTATTGACGTAATGGTATCTTGATAGCAATAAAAGGTGTAATGGAATTCATAAATTGTACAATAATATATTATCTTTTTGTAGTTAAATTGTTGTTATTTGAATAAATATATGAATGAAATTTGGTCAATTAATTATGTATTTTCACTGTTATGGGAAAAAAAATTGCCTGCCCCCACTAATTTCAAATCCTATCTTCGTCCCTGATGTGGAGAGTCATTTGGTAACACATGCTGGAGTGTACTAACAGGGAGCTATTATGGATAGATACTTAAGACAGCATGGAGAACTTCAGACCTAAACAAGTCAGGAACACATGGGTTGCGTTAATACATTTGACAAGAATTTGATAGCCAGTAATTTTGTTTGTTTGTTACTTAAAGATTATTAATTGGTTAAGAAGAATGTATTAATGATCATATTTATTGGTTTTGTTATTTAATCCGTTCGTTGCTAAAAGTGAAACAAATTAGTTGGCATTTATAATTTACGACCAATTAGTTACCTGCTAATTCATTAGTGACCAACAGATATGGTGATACCGATGCATGATTTGCGACCACTACTAAATTTGGTCGCAAAATCCTCATGTATTGTCACAGACGTTATTTACCACAAAAGATATTTTCGCTATTCTCACCCGCAGCTCTCAAACAAGATGTGATCGAGGGTGAAGCAAACCACTTAAACACGGCAGAGATCAATCGTGTGTCTGTCAACCTGCACGATTCCTCGATTCCTTGTAGCTTACATAAGGGGTAAATTACACGTTTGGTCACTCAAATTATACAAATTTTTTATATTTGTCATTCGAATTACTTTTATTTTTTATTCGCCACTAACTTTATGAATCATTTCGCAGTTAGTCACCGGCCGTCAAACTCCGTTAAATTTGTCCTATATGGCAGTCAACTATAAAATTTGACCGTTAACTTGATGATGTGGAAATTAAAATAATAAAAAAATACATTTATTTTTCCACCTCATCATTCCACTTAATTTGTATATATAATTTATTATATTAATTATTTAATAAAATTACTGAAAAAACTCTAGAAATTATAAATTACCCTATTCCTCTTCTCCATCTTCGTTTCGTTGGACCTTGGCAGCAGCGACGGAACCGGATCGGGAATCACCCGCAGATGCTTATCCCAATCCCCAGAGCATTTGAAAAGCTTCGAGGTTCAAAGATTCTTTGACCCGATTATAAGAGGACCCAAACACTGTCCGTTGTAAAGCTCCTTTAAGCAAACCTTTTATAGGGAAGACGTGGCTAATGCGAGACCAATCGGCTCCGCCGCAGCTCCGTCAGTGATTCCGTGGAGCAGTTTCACGAGCAGTTCTTCCAGAGATGCACAGCTGTTAAGGATGGCGTTCATACCTTTGCCGCCGAAGTTGCAATCCTCAGGACAGCTTCTTAAACGACCTACAGTTCTTGGCAAAGCTTCCATCCCGACATGACCGGAGCTTGATGCACGTGAGGTTCCTGCAACGGAGCTAGATCATCGCGAGGGCTTCGTGGTCGATGCCAAGGTCAGCGTCACGTGCAGGAACTCCCGTCGCCACGTGAGCTTCTACAGGACCTACCAGGCTGACGAGCACGACTACTTTTACGGGCAGCTCGATGGGCTGAAGCTGAGCCACATGATTCTGGACCATCCACTCCAGGCCTGCACTGCGAAGCTGGTTTCTTCTCCAGTAGAGAGCTGCAACGTGCGCACAAATATGAACTACGGCATCGGCGGAGCCAGGCTGCGGTTCGAGAGCAAGGTGCTGAGGTCGGCGAACTATGACTTTGTGATCTATGCGGCTGGTCCCTTGGTTTTCCTCTCCAGCAAGTGCCTTGCTGAAGCTGATCAAGATTACGTTCATGGTTGATTGATTTTTATCGACCTGGAGTTACTTCAATGTTTTGGTATGGGATTTTTGGGGATTGGACTTGTCCTTCTGTTTAAGTTACGTATCACGACCAAATTTAAAAGGCTTCTAAAAAAATTAATTTAAAATGCTATGCGGATGCTGGATAATTTTCTGATCCTATTGTACTGGGTGATTATATTAAAATTTTCAGTAATTTTTTATTAAATAATTAATATAATAAATCATATAAACAAAGTAAGTGGAATGATGAGGTGGAAAAACAAATGTATTTTTTTATAATTTCCATGTCATCAAGTTAACGGTCAAACTTTATAGTTGACTGCCATGTAGGACAAATTTAATGGAGTTTAACGGCCGGTGACTAACGGTGAAATGATTCGTAAAGTTAGTGGCGAATAAGAAAGAAAAGTAATTCGAATGAAAAACGTAAATATTTGTATAATTTGAGTGACCAAGCGTGTAATTTAGCCCTTAGATAAGACAAGAAACTGACGAATGTATTGATAATTACTGAAACCATCAACTCACCCACCGACTGATACTGATCATCCGATCATAACATTACTCGATGACTTGACCTGAG